CACTTGGCATTTTGAGAAGGTTAAGTGCTGGGCTGAGTGAGGCACTTACTGATTAGCAGCAGCATTGGGGCCAGGTAAGAGCAGAGACCATGAATTCACAATGCTGTCATTGTCCACAACAGTAGGGCTTGTTTCTAACAGTGCGATCTTGTCTGACGCAAAAAGAAAATTTTGAATGAGAAGTTTGTGGACTCAGAGCACAGAAGCTGAGAGAAACCTTGTGGGTTGATTGTCAGGTGAGCCCAGCTGGAAGGGAGAAAGGAGGCAAAGCTGCGTGGTGTGAGAGAGAGAGATGCCTTCATCCGTGAGGGGGAGTGGGACAGAGTGAGCAGGGAAGGATGAGAGGTGTGCTTGCCTTTTCATTCCTTGAAGTATACCTGGAAGCAGTTGAATGGAGGCAAACGATACCCGGGGGAACTGTTTTAATGGGAAACAATCTTGTGACAAGTTAGTTTGTTAACAGATTAGTTTGTAAACTAGTTAGTCTGTTGATGTACTTGCTGTTCCAACAGTAGGTGCCAGCTACTTCTGTTTAACATCTCTGAGGAGATGACTCAGGAAAATAAAGATCCCACAAATTAAAGTCAATTTATCTTCTTCCAAGTAAAATAACTGCTAAACCAGAAATGATTATGGATGTTACTCCCAGAATTTGCTAAGGAAAACTTTGCTAGGTGTGTGTTCAACAGAATTCCTTCTGTGATTTTACATAAATCGTTGTGAACATTGGATTTACTTTCTCCTCTAATCCGAGTCAATTTCTTACTTATTACCCAATATATTTGTCTAGTGTCCTTCTATTCACAACCCCCAACACAAATAGTCCCTGTCTCCTCCACACATCTACATACACACTCTCCCTTGTTCACTTTTCCCTCCTATTTCATTATAAATTACAAAGAAAACAGAAGGTAGGACTGAATGAGGGCAAGAACAGGGATAATATGATGTCATCTACTCCCAGATTCATTACCCAGAAAATCTTGGTAGTTTTCACTTTGGATTCCTCTTTGACTGTTGCAGAACCATACAGATTTGCTCCGCAGTTATTTGTAAAGCCAGTTAGGTTCCCAAGAAGAGTTAACCATTCACTCGGAAGTAGCCACTGAGTTCTTCATTGACATTACGTAGGCCTCTGAAGCCTCAAGTTTCAAATAATGACTTATTTTTTCAGAGCACAACTTACAGTAATAGAACTTGATAGTGCTAAACAAAATAATAAGACTGTTGGTGATTTTTTTTTCTTCTGTTTTAAAGGAAGTGTCAAGCTTAATTGCCTTGTAAACATTGTCATCCTTAAACTCATGTTGGCTCAGTTCTATGAGCGTAATTATTGAAGATTTCATTTTTTTTTTCCAGTGAGAGGGTTGGCACTTTGGTTTTATGACTTTTTTTTGCTGTTTAATATGTATCTTAAAAAAAAAACTTACCATTCGAAAGACTGATTTGCTGTATTTTCAGTTTCACAAACTGAATCCCTCAGTATTTATTTATAGCCCTGTATTTTTACTTTATGCTTGTTTACTTAGGTAGCTGTGTTAAGAAGGATGGCATTTTCTTTGTTTTTGTAATCCTGTTGTCTCAAATGAGAATACGATGCACATCATAGGTCTTCATGTAGGGCTTTTGGTTTCACATATTTGCAAACCAATTTTGAACTTGTTTTTCACCATTTATGTTTCCAGTCATGGTTGCTTATGTTTCGTTTCTTGAGTCCAACTAGTCTCCCTCAGAAAACTTTGAAATTTTTTTCTGTTGCAGATTTTTTTTGTAATAATTTTAATACTTCAAGGCTCTTTTTGCATATAGGTCACAAGTTATTAAAACTTAGTGGAAATTAGAAATGGGTAATCTGGAACAGTTAGGGGTCTCTGCTATAGCAGATGCAGATACCTAAGTCTTTAAAGATTCATTTTTGAAATATCATGCTTACGTTTACATGTTTGTAATTAACTATTTTGTTTTAGTTTTTGTTTTTGTTAGTAAAACAATGCAGAAAAACGCTTCATTGTCACATCATGCAGGAGGACCTACAATGGAATAGTCTTACATAAACAAAGGCACTCTTTTCCTTAATAATAGAAGTCTACAATCAAACCTTAACAAACTTCATTATTCTCTACATTAGTACTTATTCGTCTTTTGCATTGGGAATACTTATACCATATGTAATACATAACTTCTTAGAATATTTGGAATAGGTTCTTTGGCTTTGCAGCTGTACAGGAAGATAAGTGGAGTCCACTTGGATATTGTGAGGGATTGCTACATCCAAACCTGTTCAGTTTCTGTTATTTGACAAATGACACAAAATTGTTTTTCTTTTTACATTAGCAAATTAAAAGTTTATAAAGTACATAAGCATACATTTTTGGTCAAGAGGTAAGTAGGTAGGGAGGGAGAAAATTTTCCATTTTCTTCTCCTTTAACCTTGATGGGCCTTATAGGGATGCTGGTTGACTCTTGGCAGGCTGTCTTAAGGTACTTTCTGCTTAGACTCTGACTTTGGGATGGAGAAATCTATTGGTCTGCCTCTTACTCCTTGGCATTCCATCAGCAGATCACACACAAGATTGGTGTTAACAGTGTACTATTTTAATTTCTTGCAAAGAGCTTTTGGATTTCTTTGCTGTACTCCTTGAATTTGTGTAGGTGATTTTTTTTTAATGCCCATAATGATGGCTGCCTGATAGCATCGTGGGATATCCATTTCACTTTTAATTGGGAACCCCTTTGCATAGAAGGCACCTAGAGATAATTGTTGTCAGAGGACCCCTGGGAATGTCTCCACTTTGATGCTGAGTATGTGGTGCTGTGGGCTCTCTCCACTGTGTTGTTCCCAGAATTTTGAGTGTTTCCAGATATGGTCATTTGCACTTAGCCACAAGTCCACCCACAGGCACTGTTGGTTGTCAGCGAGATGCCACTGTTCAGATTGTGAGTGCGTCCATAATATCTTTCTCTTATTTGCTAGGCAGAAGATGGTGTTAGTGATTGCGAGCTGCTGGCTACACCCTGCAGAGCAGGAGTGAGTGAGTGCTGTTCAGCTCTCCGGTCCTGTGAGTCTGATGCCTTTCCTCCATGTTTTGGCATCACTGCCAAACACACACATTGAAACCCTTCGTGATCATCAGTTTGTCGGATGATTATATTGTTGCAAAGAGTCTGTCCAGGTCCTTTGTATCTTTTTTCTTTTTTTGTCACTTTAGTGTATGTCCATTGTGATGGGGGCATAGCTATTGATGAGGAAAGAAGGCACCATGTGTATCAAAACCAGACTAGAGATTTGGGGGTTGGTGAGTGGTTACAAACTCTGCAAAGGAAAACTTTTTAGAGCACCATTGTCATCATCTCAGTGCCGCATGAGCTTTTGTTTGACAAATGGATTTTGGCCCAGTCCTGTGGTGCCACATGTGTTTCTCAACAATTTACTCATTTTTCTTGTGGATTGCTTCATAGTATGGTGTGTGTTGCCTTCTGCCACACCTGTGTTACAGGTCAAGAGGATAATTTCTATTTCCTTGCATAGTATATCACAGAGGCATAAGTATTTAAAACACAATAAACCAATGAGGCTTGGTTGGCAAAAAGCAGGCAATCTCTAGGTGACCTCTTCTACTGTCCTCTTCTCTTTTGGGAGTGACTGCTGCCTAGATATAGCAGGACCATTTGCATGGCCAAAGAACAGGTAGAAAATGCTGTGGGAAGAGTGCCCCTCCATCATCAGGCTTAAGTTGTGTGACCACCAACAGAGAAGGGCAATGTGGTGCCATTTGACTGGTCTGTTTGTGAACAGCCATTATGCTTTACAGCTGCGACTAAAACACTTACCTCTTGTACATCTTCCTTAAGCGGCAAGTTACTGTATCTTCATCTCCTTTGTTTGCCGTTGTTGAGTGAGGCCTTACATTTGCTGTATTGTTTAAGTCCTTCTCTTTTAAAATCGGGTAGAAATTCATCGTGTACTAAAGAATGCTTTACTGTTAGAGGCAGAGGTACATGTGGCTGCGCACGTAGCTGACAAGGGTGGTCCCAGCATCCTTCCCTTAATTTGGTGGACATTTAGATTCCACTCCACTGGGATAACCAAGTACCTTCTCCCTTCGTAGAAAAGTACTTTTGCAAATGTCCATTCTGTTAAGGTAACACATGGAGGCTAGCTTTGGATGTGTAAGGTCACTTCCTATGGTCCCAGATACACTCTTTCTTTCCATTAAAACTGCCCACCTGTAGTTCTAGAATGGAGTCTTATACAAAAAGTGGAATGAGAAATTAGGATCCTTAATTTCAAATATATGAGCTTTACTCTACGTTTATATACTGTCTTTCCTGGTTTCCTTATTACCTTCTCTTTCACTTGGTTACTAGTGAGGGATATTCTGCTAGGAGAGTCATGTCTGTGGCATGCAAGGTAAGAAGGATTGTACAGATAGATACCCTCCTTTCCTCAGGAACAGGTGGATGGATGAACATATCCTCTGATTAGGAGAGAAGCTCCATGACCCTAGCATTTATTATGAACTGAATTCAGTTCTAGCATGTTTAAGAAAAATACTTAACCCATGAGATAAAACTGTTAGAATGATTTTATTAAGGAAACCTGGTTCCTAAGCATGAAAATCAAAACTTTTGAATTCCATTTAGTTAACATACGGGTTTTAGGAAGGATCAACAATTTTGATTTTGATTATGATCATAAATGTGAAACAAGCAAGTTATTGACTTGTAGATTCTTATTTATCCCATGAAATGATTATAGATACAGCTACTACGTAATTGTTTTGCATTAGCATATCTTTCAATTGATATGAATCTTTCTCACAATAAATTTATGTAATACTGAAACCATTGTGTTTGCCCCCTTTCTTTAGTTTCCATTCAGGGTTTTTATGGTATATGATAAATGAGTTGCTTACTGATTTCTTGTTGAAGTGAAATACAAATTTGGGTTATATGATCTAGAAGCATCTGGCTCATCCTTGTTTTTGTTTGTTAAACAGGAAAAGGACCAGCGCAGCCTAGACATAAACACTGCCAAGTGCATGTTGGGACTGTTATTAGGAAAAATCTGGCCCCTTTTTCCAGTTTTTCACCAATTCTTAGAGGTACCAAATTGTTATTTTATGAAATGTATGTTTGCTTGCTTAGAACTACCAAATATACAATATACTTTATTTAACCATTTATGTAACTTTTATTTGTTGTACTTTTCTGCTCATAGGAATTATGGTGCCATAATTTCTGTCAGTCAGCAGCTACCTGTCTTCTTGGAGTGAATCTGTGTGTGCGTGTCATGTCACGTGCATCATCCCACATGACAGTGCACCAGAACAGCCGCAGCTCTGCCTCTCCTCTCCTGTCCTCTCCTTTCTCAGCCCCATTTTAGAAACTTCACTGCTGTTTAGATTGTCTGCTCATTATAACAATAGGAAAATGAGGTTTACTTTCTTTTATGGCTTCAGATGAATTTACAGTTTTATTTGCCAAGGTTAAAAACCAGCCTTCTGCCTTCTTACTAAAATTAGTTTGTAATCTATTCTTATCTACTCTTATCTTCAAGTAACTTGGGGAGTACTTAGATCAATGAAAGAACTGTATTAGGCAAAGTGCCAATATTTCCGTCAGTATAAATTTTCTTCAGACCTGTGTTAAAAATAACCTAGCACTTTACTCCATCATTGTTTGCTTTACGGATTGATGCCCAAACATTTTGAGCTGCTGGTTAGTAGGAACTGATTTTGTTGAAATATCCTGCATCAGGACTTAGAGGTATCTGAGACGTGTTTGGGTTACTTGGGTTGTCATACATGGTGTCCTCCTTGGCCTCCTGCTGCCCCAAACCCTTTTTAGAGAACTCCCTTTGCTTGCAAGGATTGAGGGTGTTGGGTCTTTGAAAAAATCCTCAGTCTTACCCTGACTCCAATTTCCCTCTTGAGATAACCTTTCTTACAACTTACTTTATGTAATGATCTAGAAAAACTTAACAACTGATACAATTTCTCAGGGACTGTTTTTAAAAACTGCTCATAACATTACTCCACAAGAAAGTTATAAAAATTAGTTTTAATATAAGAAGTAGTAGTTGACATGATGGTCCATTCTCCATATGGTCGGTTCTAATTTCTCTGACCTACCCTCTCCCATGAGATAAGCTAGCAGTATTTGGAACAGTTCTTTGGAAATGAGTTCTTGTTCAGTAAGCTTAGAAGGATTTAACCCTTAGCTGACACCTGCTATAACGAAATTTGACTTTGCATAGTTCTAGGATAGGTGCTCAGAAAATTAACCTTACACCTTGTGCCTTGCTCTTATTTAAGTTTGCATTTCTTTTCAGAAGAGACAACGTAATTCTTGCATTCCAGCTTTTCTTGTGTTTTCATCCTCAAAACCATTGGCTTTTCTCTTTGCTTTTTATGTATTTGTATTGTTTCACCATGTTCTTGATTTTAGTGGTGAGGACTTAAAAATTTGTTGGTTCTGGATTTTAGTTTTAAATCTTTATATAGGGATACTGTATTTTAAAATAAACTGTAGCATATTTTTTACCTAAGAAGAATAGAGAACTACTTCATGATGACTCTAGTTTCCTTTATGATCAGATTCAAGTTTTGAATTCTAAGAACAGTAATTTTCTTCAGTGGCAAGCTCTGAGGCCACTGGTGGCACTTACATAGGTTCTCAACAAGTGACTCACTTGTGAGCCTCAAGCCAACAGCTTGGCAGTGAGCCTGACTGATATGTTAGGAGTTACTCTTGGGAGCTATTTTTTAGTTAGTACTAATTTTGTGCCAAGTACTAGATAAAGTGCTTTATATAAGTTCCATAAGTTATCTCTTTTTAATCCTTGCAGTATTGCTAGGAAGATAATATCCCCATTTTACATAAAAGAGCTTCTGCAGTGTAGAAATTTCACTTTGGAGAATATGAAATTATGCTTCTTTAATGTGCTTGCTAACTTGGGTTTAGCTCCCATAAAGATTTTGTAATGAAAATTGTCATCTTAAATTCTACTCTTGCTCTCCCTCACCATCTTCTAGATTGGAGCTTAAGTGGACAGAGTTAACCCTACATGAACTTTAGTAAGTTGTTTCACACAGGAATTGAAACCATCCCATTTGTTCATTTTAAGTGTCAGTAATTCATGTTGCTTTTCCCTCTGTTAGCAATCAAAATATAAAGTCATTAACAAAGACCAGTGGTGCAATGTGCTCGAGTTCAGCAGAACAATTAATCTTGACCTCAGCAACTATGATGAAGACGGAGCATGTGAGTACTGGGTGCTGAGGGTCTCCCTCCCCCCATTCTTGTACATTGCACCTCTTCTTCCCTAGGGAAGTGCCTCTGAGCCACGTTGTTTTTGTTCTCTGTCTCTGCAGGGCCAGTCTTGTTGGACGAGTTTGTGGAGTGGTATAAAGACAAGCAGATGTCCTAGGACTTTATGCATAGCAGCGAGAGAGTCACTGTTACCACAGTTATGTCACCCATTAGCCATAAATTGCTGTTTGTATCAAAGCGCATGCTGCTTTTCTTGCACTGTCTCCCTTTCCCAGGGATGTTTTGGTGTTTGCTATTGAATGGGCCAGCTCTGCTTGCTGTGTAGCATTGTTCTCTTGGAAGGCTGCTTTGCAGTTTGTATTTATACTACAGATTGGTGAATTTGCCAACGTCCTCACTGTGATTATGTGTATATTGCTGTTTAAATTTTGTATATGTGTATAAAAAGAAAAAGCTTCACCTAGAGATTATTTCTGCAAAAATGTATTGTAAAAATAATTTTGTGGCATATTTCTAGTCCCTTTTTTCAAACGAACCAATTATACTTTATTTGGTCTCAAATGTAGCATTTCAGACAAAACCAGACAAAACAACTGTTTCCATGAGCAAACATTGCCAGAATGAACTTTACTGTTTAAGAGGCCAACTTCTGGAAGGAGGTAGGAGTCAAAACTTTTCAGTGGCACATGCCAAATATTGTTTGGTTTACTTGAAAATATTAGCATTTTAAAATGATGAAAGTTGTAATTATTTGACCATACAGACATGTGACATGCCACAAATCATTTCCAACATGCAAGGAATAGTTGTTGTTTTTTAATGTTAAAACTATTATAGCTTGAATGTAGGTATAGATGAACAAATTTAAAATGTACCTTTTTAATTGAGGTTTAAATTCTCATAAACTTGCTTTATTTATTTATTTTTTTGTCCCCCTTTGCATTCTTCTAGCCAGTATTTGGTTCACTGATGCTTCCTGTCCCACTTCAAGTAAAGTGTATTTTGCCCCCCCATGAAAACCTATTGGCTTGCTGGCAACTTATAACTCCTGAACACTTTTAGTTGTGGCTTGAATATTTAGTTGCGCTTTCATGGTGTATAATTTCCTAGATTTTTTTTGAAAAAAGAACTACACTATAAGTAAAAGGTGTTTTGTTTTGTTTTCCATGTGTTTCTTTCATGCTAGGCTTTTACTGGCAGCTGTCCATTGCAGGCAGTGGACATGAAACCACCAGCATTGAGCTAACACTATTACACACTAGGACCTTTCCTAGAGGGGCCACTTGTTATTTCCTGGGTCATTTGTATAGAAGGGTTTTAGCCATTATTTATATGGATGAGGAAACCAGAGTAAACAGGGTGGTATTTTTAGGTTTGTATTTTATGTCTTTCCTCTTTCATTTTTTTTTTTTCCTATCTTTTTTTTGCCTTGTCCTTGAGGAAATGTATAGAGAAAATGTTTCACCCAACTCTGGTGCTATTGAATGACTAAAACTCAGTCCCTAACGTTTGTGAAAACAACAGTCTAATAATATGAGCAAGTAATATATGGATGAGGAAACCAGAGTAAACAGGGTGGTATTTTTAGGTTTGTATTTTATGTCTTTCCTCTTTCATTTTTTTTTTTTCCTATCTTTTTTTTGCCTTGTCCTTGAGGAAATGTATAGAGAAAATGTTTTCACCCCAACTCTGGTGCTATTGAATGACTAACTCAGTCCCTAAAGTTTGTGAAAACACACAGTCTAATAATCTGAGCAAGTAAAGAACTAATGGTGCATTTGAACATGTGAATGCTACAGTTGTAAGATCCATGCTTGAGCATGTAATGATTAGAAGATGTTTGGATTATTAGCCAAAATATCTTTCAGATTTAATGTGAACCTTTAAATGGCATTAAATGAGGAAAGCACACAGACAATACTACTCTTGACCACTGTTTTATTGTTTCTTTGCAAACAGTGCTCAGATTTTCGTATTATTTTTTCCCAACTAAACCACCAAAGACAGAAATTTTGTATGTATATACCGTGTGTGTGCATATACAAAATCATGATGTGGTAGAATGCAACCAACCGCTTCCTTTTTCTACCAAATAGTGTGGTTTGATTTGCTATGAAAATAAACCAGAAGTTAAAAAAGAAGTAACTCAGTAGCAAATAAGCATACAAGCGTACTTTAACCGTTCCTTACTTGTAGTGTCACTTTTAACTTACAAATTAATACCAGTTTGCATAAATTATTATCTGGAAAGAAAAAAATATGTTGCCGCAAGCCACTGCCATTGAGACAGCTGTGGTGGAAGGGGTTCTATTCCGATGCATGCCTGTGTGTTACAGTGGGGATTGGCCGTAGGCAGATTCAGTCTGTGGAGAATTAATTCACTTTCAGGTGAACTGCAATGAAGTTTAAAAAAAATCACACTCTAAAGGCAACAGTTCTTAAATTTGATCAACTTTTGTTTTGCTTAAAGCAAACATAAATCATAGACGAAATTATTTTAAAAGTTATGCTAGAATCTGGAGAATTTTTTAAACACTAAGCACAGTTAATCCTAACATAAAAGGATTGTTACAAGGAGGAGATGTTACATTTTATCCACAGTGAGCATTTTGATGATAGAAAAAACTCAAGTGAAAACTATGTTACAATGTGTGATATGAAAGTAAGTATTCCAAAGCATATTCAGAAAATTCCAAATAATCCCTAAACTGCCTTAAAAAGCAAGCTCTGACACTACTGATTGCCCTTGGTTTTCTGGATTTTACAGTTATGTTTAAGGGGAGAAAAAGAGGCTAGCCAGAGTAAGAAGAAACTTTTTCTTGAAAATTTGCCAAGTTACACAAAATTTAACAATCACTGAGTAATCATGGCTAATGGTAAGATAAATTAGGGTACCTTCTTTTGGTTCTTTAGTACCTGAGTGTACACCCTTTCTCTCTTGCCTTGTGTTTGAACTCCACATTGCAATACCCTGTCATTAGGGAACACAACTTAGATGTTCGCTGCTGCCGTAGACCAAACATTTTATGATTTGACTTGCCACAAATGCCCACTGCAGTGTTCTGTGCACCTTTTTGAAGCATGAACTCCAAGTTAAGTTTTCATAAATCTGACTAAACATACCTAGATTTTGGTTTAACAACAGATTTCTGTTGCCTGTCAGTCTCCATTCTAACAGAACTTTTGAAGTTTATACAGAAAGCTTGAAAAGTTTGTGCCCTTGGTTTTTATTCTTACAACTGCTAAAATACCTCTGTAAGCCTTATCCTTTATTCTTTCATATGTTGTATAATAAATGTATAGAATTCATTGACCAACTAAACTGTTGGGTATCTGTAAATGAGACCAAATGTGGGTTGCTTTTTTTCATAAAATAATTTCTCTTTGGGGGTTACTGCTAGAGCAGTAGCTAACATGTAACTGTGAACGCTTCGTGTCGTCAGTATTTGCATTACATTCATAAAGTGTGCAAGTCCTGTGACTCCCAGCTTAACCACAATACTGTTATGCCACCTAACTTGAGTACAGCAAACTGGTTTTAGGTTTTAATGGAATTGATGTAAAATTATATCCCATAAATAAAGAAGTATTTGTGTTTGGTTTCAGAACTGATTTGTGAATTTTTTTTCTTTTCACTTTCTTCAAAAACCATTTGGGGTGAATTTTTTTGTTTGTCTTACAGTCTTGTTTTATAATTATAGTTTAGAAAGGACTTTTACATAGTATTTTATTTCTTCTGTGCAAGGGAAATGAGGTAGGTATTATGCCCATTTTTTAAAGAAGAAAAAAAAAGAAAACTAAAAATTTTAAAACAATCTCACAGAGTTTGAATAAAGAGCCAAGAAAAATTTGAGGTGATTTTAAACTGTATCATTTTGGGTTGAACAATGAGCCTTGAGCTTGCTAGGCAAGCACTCTTCAGTATCCCCAGGACTTGGTTTTTGAGACAGGATCTCATTATGAGCCCAGGCTGGCCTCAAAGTCACCGTCCTTCTGCTTCTCTGCTTCTACCTCCTAAGTACTGGAATTACAGGGCATGCCCCTAAGCCTGGGTTTTTCTCAACTTTTTTTGTTGTTGCAGTACTAGGGTTTGAGCCACTCCACCAAACCTTTTCTATGATGGGTTTTTCAAGATAGGGTCTCACAAACTATTTGCCTGCATTGTCTTCGCAGCGCCTGGCTCTCAGTTTTTTCTGTTGAAAAATTTTAAAGCTACAGAAAAAAAGCAAAATTATATAATGAACACCTTAGATTCTAACTAAGGTTTTGCCACATTTCCTGTCTCTGTGTGTGTATAATTCTCTTTCTCTGTAAGTATATTTCTTTCTAAGTCACTTGAGAATAAATTACATTATGAGACATCATAAATGATATTTTGGAATAACACATTCCCCTGAAACCACTGTACAATGATGCCACAAGATGTTTAACATTGATTTAATAACATCTGATGTACAGTCCAGATTAAATATTTCTAAGTGGTACCAATAATGGGGTTGATTGCAATTTTATTTTCTATCTAGGGCTAAGCCTTGTATTTTACTTGTCATGCATCTTTAGTCTTTCTTTAAATCCAGAACACTTCAGATAGAGTATCTAATCTAGAAAATCCAGGAAAAACTGATTTCCAAATTTCTAAAAAGCACAATCTGGGTGCATGCTCTTTAAGTTGGTGGCATAGATAGTTCTTTCAACTGTAATTTGGGCCAAAAACTGAAGATCAAACAAATCACTATTCTTCCAGACACACAGAAGGAGAGAAGATGCTGAGTGAAGATAAAGGAAAAAGCTTACTCCTAAATTGAAGGAAGGAGTGGGAGGAAGCCAGTTTTGGAATGGGGCATTCTCAACCTGGGATGTGGCCAGCAGCAGAAAAGCTTGTGTTACATTAATCAGTACAAGAAAACAGGAGCACAAGATATAGTAAATGTGGAAATTGACAGGAACCGCAGATTCCCCAGTGATGCAATTGGAAAATGATAGATATGGGAGAGAGTAAATCCTTAATGTCGGCCCAAGAGAAAAACCCAGCTGAGGGGCATTGCAGACGCATACACCTATGAAAGAAAGTTACAGGAAGGTCATTGTTAAGCCTTTTGAAATAATGAGATGGAGAGGAAAGAAAAAATACCAGGGAAAAAAAAAAACAAAGATCATTAAGTCAACCCCAGAGTTACAGAAGTGAGGAGGAAAATTTGCTGTTTCCCAACAGTGCCTTTCTCGATTTGTTTGCACCTAAATAAAGGCAGGACATGCTCTCCATGGGTTAGTGTAACATGTTACATCATTCCAGACTCATTTCTTGAACAGTATCTCCAAATCCTGTGAAGTGTAGCTTTTATGGAGACTATTAGAAGCTTTTATGGTTCCTTTAGAAAAGAATTATCTTTGGAACACTTATAGCCAGAAAGCAACACTGTGGGCACATTCAGCAGAAAAATGTTTGCTTTTTCCCTGCCTGA